GTGGGTGGTTTGGATGTGGGGGAGAAGGTCTTGAAGAAGTCCAGGTACTGCTGCTGGGTGAACCCTTTGGCCACGTAGCGCACTTTGAACACTGGGGCCTCGTCCGGAAGCTGTTTCACTCGAAACAACCACTTGCCACCAACGATGTTAACTCCTGGGGGTGGAGTTTCGTCGTCGAATGAGTGGTTGCGGGTGAAGGCTTCAATCTCAGCTTCCATGGCAGCACGCCATTCGGCAGCATGGGGACCTGAGAGAGCCTCTTGAATGGTGAGAGGGATGGGGATGGTCGGGTTCTCCGTGAAGTTGAGTGAGGGTGAGTCAGTGATGTCGGGGAAGATGTGCGAGAGCTGAGGAGTGACTGCATGGAGATCACATAGCTCCTCATGCCTGTCTTCCAGAAGGGTAGAATGCATATCCCCCCCAGCAGGAGGAGGCGGAGTGATCGCGGTGCAGCGAAGAACCAGGGCCAGCGGAAGAGCAGCGCCGTGCGAGCGAGTGTGATGAGCCACCGGAGAGGAGGGTGGAGCAGGTGGTGTCGAAGGGGTTGGTTTGGGAGACTTGGGCGGGGGAATTGGGCGCCGCTGGTACGTGATCACTTTGGGCGACTGTGGTGAAGCGGGTGCCTGGGTGGAAGAGGGGACTGGTGGAGGAGGTGGGGCCGGAGGGGTCGACCGCCGATGGTATGTGATTGGTGCGCTCGGAGGGGGCGGCACAGCTGGCAGAGGGGAAGGGGAGGGGGATGGGGGAGCTGCTGCCGAAGACACCGGTGAGGTCGGGTCAGAGACCGCAGAGGGGGATGGTGCGATGGCAGGAGAGGTAGGAGGTGAGGGGGCAGGTGCACAAAGTCTGCCCAGACGAGAGAGGGTGGGTCAGAGGAAGGATCCGGACTGGAGGCGGAGTAGAATGGGCGGGTCTCATCAAAGACCACGTCGCGGCTCCGAATTAGCTGTTGGGTGGAGGGGTTGAGGAAGAGGTAGTATGGGGAGTCGGCATTGTGCCCAAGGTAGACGCACGTCTGAGTCTTGGGGCCGAGTTTGCCACCGTGCTGCCGCCTAGCCTGAGGGTTGAGGAGGACATAGGCGGTGCACCCCCAAACGCGGAGAGAGCGTGCAGTGGGTGTTTTCCCGAGCCAGAGTGTGGTAGGAGTGGTGTCGGGAAGATGCGGGTGGGGGTAAAGATTGTAGAGGAGGGCAGCATGGTAGAGGGCGTATCCCCAGAGAGAGAGTGGAGCATTGGAGTGGCTGAGGAGGCACCGAGTGATTTGCACCAGGGTGTGGTTGCGGCTTTCTGCTATGCCGTTCTGCTGCGGGCTGTCAGGAAGGGTGAAGTTTTGCTGGATGCCTTCTGAGGAGCAGAAGGCTTTGAGCTTGTCGTTGCAAAATTCACCCCCCCCATCCGAGTGAAGGCGCTTGACCTTGCGGTCAAAGTGGGTCTGTGCCTGGTTAACCCACGCTATGATGACCTCTGGAACCTCGGCCTTACAGTGGAGGAGGTGAACAGAGACGTAGCGGGAGTGGTCATCCACGATAACAAGGAAGTAGCGATAGCCACCTCGTGCGAGAACAGGGGCAGGGCCCCAGACGTCCATGTGCACGAGGTCCAGCGGTGCTGCTGCGACTGTGGGTGAGGCAGGATGGGGCTGTTGGCGCAGTTTGCTCTTGGTGCAATCAAGGCACGTGGGAGCGGGTGAGTCAGGTGGTGGAGGAAGTGCGGCTGGCAGGCCGAGGAGAAGTTTCTTGAAGGCCATGTCAGCAAGAGAGCGAAAATTTGGGTGCCCGAGCCGATGGTGGTAGAGGATGGTCGGGTTGGAGAGGGTGCGACATGAACATGGTGTGATAGTGGGTTGTGCTTGGGTGGTTGACACCTGTGGAAGAGGTACGCGTAGCGTGTAGAGGCCGTTGCTGTTGAGGGTGTAGCGGGCCAGAGTTTTGTTGGTGCGTGGATCGATGATGTCGCAATAGTCCTCGTTCTCTGGGAAGATGGTGCGTAGTCCCGCGCCCTGAATTTCTGTTTGGGCCACTAGGTTGTGGCGTAGTGAAGGCACGCACATGCCAGTGACAGTGCCAGATGGGAAGGCAGGGCAAGGGACTGTGGATGTACCCTTGGCAAGAGTGGTGAAGCTTGAGTCAGCTCCTAAGAGAGGAATGGGTGTTGCGTAGGGTTTGAAGGAGAGTGTCTCCTTGAGCACAGTGTGAGTGGCCCCGCTGTCGAGTGTAAACTCAGTCTATGTATTGTGGTGCCTGTGATGAGCCGATGTACTGGGAGGTAGCTTCATTAATCATGGCAGTGCCAGGGAACAACAGGTTGATACGCACATCAGCAGGAGCACTATCACTAGCACTAGCCGAAGCGGGGTCCTGGACCTCAACTAGGTTGGCCTTACGAGGGCGCATCCAGTTTGGCGGCTTCTTGTCAACTCCGTGGAGGGCATACCACTCGTCGTCTTTCTTCTTGAAGCACGTAGCAAGGGGGTGGTTAGTGCCACCACACACTTGTCCCTTGCGGTTGCCATACTTGACGACGTAGGGGCACGGAGGAAAGCGGTTGCGCTGGAAGGGCGCCGAGGCGAGAGCCGCTGCGACACTTGCTTGGGGCATGGGAGCGCGGATGGCGTACGCCTTGGCCTGAGCCGTGGAGTCTTTCTCGGCAGAGAGGAGTGCGGTGGAGACCTTAGCAAAGGTGAGGTCTTCCGCTGAGAGCGTGAGGAGCATCTTCCTCGTGACTTCATATGCCGAGGTGAGTCCAACAAGAAGGGCGGCTGCAGGGGCTTGCTCGGGGAAAACTATACCCAGCTCCTTGAGTTCACCATGGATGGTCTGCACCTTGGCAATGTAATCGGCCATTCCCGAGCAGTCCTCAAGGCGGACCTGAAACATGCTAGGGATGAGGATCGCCACTCCGACCGCCGTCTTGTTCATGAACCGATCCTGGAGATACTTCCAGATGGCGTTGGAGGTAGGGTAGTTGTGGAACGTGTTGACAAGTTCGGGAGGGGTGGAGGCGATGAAGACGCTGATGATGGCAGCATCGGCCTTCTCCCATTTCCGGTACTTCTCAACAGCTTCCTCGTACGCCCTCACGTCAGCATCATTAGAAGATTCAGTCGGCTCCCGGGGGAGAGTAGGCTGTTTCCCCTTGCCACGGTTGAGGAGGACGTCCTTGAGGTCAAGGCCCTGCACGTCACGGCTCAGGAGGTGCTTGTCAACTCCGTAGCTCCATGCCTTGAAGTTGGAGCTAGAGCCATCAGCTTCAAGGCGGAGCGGGGTGATGGGGTTGGCCATGGTGGAAGATGAGAGAGCCATGGTGGAGGTCCCTTCAATTCTCGCGCGGAGCGCCGCTCTTAAGTCACCGATAGTCACTTCGACGGATGCGAAAGGTAAAAATCGTCAATGTCGGCCGCGTCGAATTGCCTCGTAGAAGGAATTTTCAGGCCGTCGAAATTAGGTCGAATCGGCTGATTTTGGTAGATCTAACCCTAATCCCACACACCCCCCCACACACCGCCCTTAGCTTCACGGCTACGCTGCTGCTCGGCTTCACGGCTACACGGCTGCTTAGCTTCGCGGCTACGCTGCTGCTCGGCTGCGCTGCTGCACCTGTTCAGCTGCGGGAAACGGGGGGGATGGGGGTAGAAGTGCAGATGCGGGGCGACGGGCGGCAGCCCGTAGATGATGCTGCGGGGCGACGGGCGGCGGCCCGACGAGAAGCTGCGGGGCGACGGGCGGCGGCCCGACGAGAAGCTGCGGGGCGACGGGCGGCGGCCCGACGAGAAGCTGCGGGGCGACGGGCGGCGGCCCGACGAGGAGAAGAAGGCCGACGAAAACGTTCGACGAAGAAGAGCGCGCTTGACGAAAACGAGTGATAGGTTAGAGCGCCAACGATGCGCTTACCAGAAAGATCGTTGATGTCGTCGAAATTGACGGGAACGTGGTGCGGGAAGATTTCCGCCTACGAACGTCGCGAATCACCGGTGACGGGATTGACGATGGCTACGCCGAGGTTTGCGGGACGAGCATCTGCGAAGATGAGAGGATCACGATCCGCGTATGCGGATGAAGAGCTCTGATACCATGTCAGAACTTAGGCTTAGAACTGATACATTAGTAGTGAGCTCAAAGCTCTTTAAGTACATCAGGAATGAGCAAGGTAGGGATGAGATGGAAATCAGGGGGCAATCCTAGGGAATCAAGGGTAATCCCAAGGCAAGCTCCAATTGGTGGGTTGGAGATTGCTTGGAGATTACATTTGGGTTTGGTTGGGATGTGGGTGTACACCTTACCAAACACAAAGTGCAAACTACACTAAACTAAACTAGGATATAAAAGTACAAGTACAAATTGTGAGATTGAGGGCTAACACCAACAGTGTGTACATTAGGCTTGAGCAAAAACCCGAACGCCTGTTCGGTTCGACTCGAACCTGTTCGAGTCGAACCGAACAGGCTTTTTTTTTGGCCTAAATTGTTCGGCCCGAACATGTTCGGTGTTCGGCCGAACATGTTCGGTGTTCTGTCCAGTCGAGATAGCCCCCAAAGTCGAACACGAACACGTTCGTGTTCGACTAGGAGGTTACGCGAACACCAATGTGTTCGCGTCAATTTCGGCCGCGACCAATTTTAGGTCGCGGCCGATCTGAGTTTGAGCTATTTGTGCTAGCTCAAACTCAGTCGCGCTTTCTTAGCTTAGCCATCCTACTACCACACTCCCCCACCCCACCACCCTTGCATTATCGAAGTTATGGCCTAAGCTCTCCGTCACGACTAATCCTCCATTAGTGCAACACTAGGGTTTCGTTGGTGGAGTCCACGTGGTCTAGGTTTGAAGTAGTTTTTATAGCAACTTCTTCAAGCAACACGTGGTCTACTCTATGCAGTACGGTTCAAATCACTCAATCTAAGAAGGCCACACGGAGTTCAGTACGTTCGCGTCCGTGCTACTACCCGCCAAAACCGCCCGTTGCCTCACCCTGGGGTTTAGGGTTTTTGAGCCTAGGGCGGAGATATGGCTTCTGGACGAGGTGGATCTGTAGCACGAGGTCCAGGTGGCGCTGGTAGCAGCGTGCCAGGATCTCCACCACGTCCTATGGAGGGGCGGGTAGGGGATGGCCCTGGAGGAGCCGGCGCATGCTTTGTGGGAGGGTTGCTTACCTTGGCGACGCCGACATCACGTCACACTTTCCGCTACGACGGCCCTCGACCCCCTCCTAAGAAGAAGACACAGCCGGAGAGTGGCAGTGGGGAGGAGGATGAGGAGGAGGAGGAGGAGGGTGATGGCGATGACGATGAGGATGATGAGGGGAGCGGGGATGACAGTGAGGCAGGGTGGGACCCAGAGACGGATGGCGGTGGGGAGGGGGGAGAGGATGATGAAGACCACGAGATGGATGGGTTGGAGCCAGAGGGGCGGGAAGAGGAGGTGGGAGAGGGTGGTGGAGAGGCGGCAACGGAGGCGGGCTCACACCATGTGCGTGAAGGGGGTGGGGGCGTGGGGGTTGCTGTGGGGAAAAAGGCCGCGACCATTAGGCCGCCAAGGCGGGGGAAGAGGGTGAACAAGTTGAGGGAGCGGGCGTACCCCGCTACGTTCACAGGGGAGCCGTTGGGTGAGGGCGTGATCGCACCGGAGTTCCTAGACGAGGATGGAGAGTCAGAGAGTAGCAAGGGGACGGGAAGCAGGAAACCGGGGTGGCAAGTTATGATGTTCGGACCGAAGGATGCAGACGAGAAGCGTCAGTGCAAGATTTGCACTGACAAGATCTCGTGGAAGCAGTCCACAACCACTCCCGGCGAGCGGCACTTCGCGAGCCACCATACAGCGCATATGCTTGTGTGGCATCACCGTTACCACACCCCGTCCATTCAGTTGCCAGGCGAGACGTTTCCACGCGGGGGTTACAAAGGTGTTCCAGATGGCTCATCGAAGCTTACCCGCATGCCAAAACGTGGCCTCATCTCGCGACCAAGACACCGCAGGCAGCAGGAGGAGATAAGAAGGGGGGCGGGATTGAGCGGTATATGACAACGAAGCTGTCACAGGGGGAGCTCCGACGGGCGATTGCCAAGCTAGTGGTCACCTGCGACCTCCCCTTCCGCATCGTGGAGGCCGAGGCTGTAAGTGCCCTGTCCCATGGGGTGTTATGGGAGGGTTTGGGAAAGGGTTCACGTTTGCTTTGCTACTCCATTTATTGCGCTCCACCCTTATATTGTGCTATCAGGTCTCCCACCCATCACTTAATGCTTGACGCCCCTCTCTCCCCTCCCCTTGTCTCCACCCCCCCCTTCCAGTTTCGGGAGCTTCTGATCCTGCTAAATCGCAACTGCGCGCAGAAGAACTTCATCCCCTCCCGTTGGACGGTCTCCCGCGACACCGTTGTCTTTGCGGCGGCCGCTCTCCAGTCCGCCATCGCGGAGTTGCTGGCGAAGGAGGGGGAGCTGGGGTGCAAGGTGTCGATAACCATAGACATATGGACGGCACCCAACAACAAAGCATGGCTGGTGGTTACCGGCCACTGGATAGACGAGGCCTTCCAGCTACGCACGATGGTGCTCGAGTTTCGTGAGATGCTCGGGCGGCATGGGGGCAAGGAGATTGCGAAGGTGGTTGAGGAGACAGTGGTGCAGTGGAAGTTGGAGGGGCGTTGTCTTGGGTTGACGTCAGACAACATTGCTGCCTTCAGGCGGCTGTCGGAGGAGGGTGGTGGGAGGTGCTTCTTCACCGAGCGCATGCACTTCCGGTGAGTGTGTGTGTGAGAGAGCGTGGGGGCTGCGGGCGTGCCTAGTAGTGACATTTTTGGTGTGTCCCTAAACGTCTGTCCGCCGGGGCTTGCTTTGACCCGACCCTCTCACCCTTCCCCTTCTGTCTGTCTTTCATGGTGTTTTGCGTGTGCAGCTGCCTGGCACATGTGATCAACCTTGCCGTGAAGGCAGCTCTCGCAGTGGCCGCCATCCGCAAGCTGCTGAAGATCCTGAGGGAGATGGCGTCGTGGGTGGGCTTCTCGCCGCAGCGCTCGGGGAAGTTCCTGGGCCTGCAACGGACCTTGAACGCGCAGGCCAACCCCGCCAAACCGAAGCTGGCACTGAAGCTGGTGCAGGACTCTCCCACGCGCTGGGGCTCGACTCACGACATGGTCGAGCGAGCCGGGGTTCTGCAGGAACCTATCAACGTCTACTTTGCCCAGACAGCGGTGAGTGTGTGTGACGGGCTCTCGCGGCCGGTGTTGTGTGTTTGCGGGAGATACGTGTGCAGGCTGTCGTCTCCACCTAGACAAAGCACAAACAACACTGGGTGTGGTCATGTTTGTTGTGCGTGTTACAACCACACGCCACCCTCTCTAACCAAAGTTCCCTTGTGTCAACCTTGACTGTCCAAACCCACAAACCTACAGGGCTTGTCGGCGTCTGACAAGAAGAAGGTCGAGAGCTTTCGCCTGACAGACGCAGATTGGGACAATCTGCATGCTTTCAAGGCACTCCTCAGTCCATTCGCCAGAGTCTCGAAGACTGCAGAGGGGGCGGCGTACCCTACAGTGTCGATGGTGGTGCCGTACTACAACGGCCTGATCGACGCTTTGGAGGCGCGCCTTGCGAAGGGGCCATCGGCTGCGCTGAAGCCGATGATCGAGGCGGCGCTGGGGGTCCTGAAGAAGTACGCGTACATGTCCTCCAACGAGCTGTGGATCGCCACCTTCTTGGACCCGTCCATGAAGGCGGCGTGGTTTGATGACGAGCACTGGGAGTCGCAGCATCCCGAGACCGAGCCGAGGGTGAGGCCGCGTCCCACTTCTAGCGAGGTGGTCCAGCTGGTACGAGATCGCGTGGCCGAGTACTAGGCCCGGGCTGCAGCGCTTGCCCCCCGGGCGCCCCCACTAGCCACCGTGACGGAGGAGGAGGAGGGTGACGCAGCGGATGATGACGAGGATGCGCAGTAAATCCCTAGTCGCCGTCGCCTTGCAGCGCGTCTCTCAGCGAGCCAGCAGGCGGGGAGGGGTGGGATGCTACAGGATGACGAGGTTAGCAGGTACCTGTCGGAGCGGGTGCGGGAGGACGTGACGGCTCTGGAGTACTGGCGCACCGCCACCAACCTGCAGACGCTCAGGCGCATGGCCCGAGACTATCTCGCGATCCCTGCCACGTCCGCATCGAGCGAGCGGGTGTTCTCCCTTGGCCGCAACGTCATTTCCTGGAAGCGGCACCGCCTGCACTCCCAGAGAACGCGAGCTATCATGGTTCTCCGATCCTGGTACACCTCACACCCCGGCCAGAGGATAGGCGAGGGCCGCCGACAGAGGGGCGTCGCACCGCTAGAGATTGCCATTGAGGGCGAGGGGGAGGAGGAGGATGATGACGAGGAGGAGGAGGAGGAGAAGGAGGAGGAGGAGGAGGAGGAGGAGGAGGAGGAGGAGGAGGAGGAGGAGGAGGAGGCGGAGGAGGAGGGGGAGGGAGGGGGAGGGGAGGGTGAGGGGGATGCTGATGACCAGATGGATGGGGTGGAGCCTGCTGTTGGTAGTAGCAGTGGCCCGGCGTTAGCGTAGGGTTCTTATACATTATATAACTCTTGTTAGACAATCAGATGTTGTTTGTAGCACTGGGTCGGTTGCAGGAACACTGGGGCACCATGCGAAGCCTTTATTTATCTCTCTGGCCCGGGAAAACCCCTTTCTGACATGTGTGATTATAGTGAATGGGATGAATGGCGAACTCGAACATGTTCGGGGCGAACATGTTCGAGTTCGCCTCCGTGCTCAAGATGTTCGCCCCTTGGGCCGAACATCGAACACCATAGGCGGACTAAATCGTTCGCCGAACCGAACAGTGTTCGGTTCGGCTGTTCGAGCTGTTCGACCAGGGACGAACTCGAACCTGTTCGAGTTCGGCCTTTGCTCAACCCTAGTGTACATGCAACGTGCAGCAGACTTATGAGCATCGAGCCCTTATAAGAAACATGAACGGAGTAAGCGTTTGCCTACTAGGATGAGTTGCATGTGTGCAAGTGAGCTTCCCAGTAATCAGTGATGAGCAATGAGCCGCGGAAACCCTGAAATTGACGTGTCACAGGCCGGCCCCACCTCGGCCTCCACCTCCTCATTGCAAACCAGCCATGCGCCAGGCCGTGCCCATGGCTCGCATCAGCCCATGGCCCATTCCTCATGAGCCCTCAAGACGTCTCTTGCCCATGCGCTGCTATCTCTCACTCACACTACCTCTTTTTCTGCTCTTCCAGTAGCGCAGGCCTTCAGCCTTGCCCTTTCCTTATCATTGCCACTCTCCCTCAGGATGTTGTCCAGGAATCAGCTCAGTGGCCTCATTCCTGATACCATCAGCTCGCTGACAAGAATCATAGCTCTGTGAGACAAGTCTCCCCCCCCCCCCCTGTGGCATCCTCTTATCCGTTTCAATAAACCCACCTATGGGCCCTGTCCTCAGCAGCTTACATCAAATCGAGTTTTGTGTTTCTCCGCTCCTCTCACCTCTCTTCTTCCCTCGCCCATTTCACAATCCCATTGCACCCTCATGCACCATCCATCGGCTGTTCTTCCCAATGCCCCTTCGGTTGAATCCTCCCACCATGCAGATCCCTCGCGTATAACCAGCTCTCTGGACCCATCCCTTCCTCCATCGGCGCGCTCACCACCCTAACAAACCTGTACGACACACTTCGCCTGTTTCTAATGCCGATGAAAACAATCACCCATTTTGGTTCCACATAACACTGCCTCGTTAATTCGTCTCTCACTTCTCCCCTTGGCGTTGCCTTGCTGCCCTTTAATACTGCAGGGGCCTTTATTCCAACAACCTCACGGGTGCCATTCCCCCATCCATTGCCTCGCTGCGCCGTATCAGTGCTCTGTAGGTGCCCTGCTGCCGCTGCCAGTCTGCCACTGCTGCTGCTGTGCCTCTCCACCGCGGCTGTTTCTCCACCCGCCACGTGAAGCCCAATGCTATTTCTCTTCCTATTCCGCTGCATGTTCGATAGCCTTCTAGCCTTCCATCTCCTTCTCCATATCCTTTCCGTTCCACCTTCCACCCCCCTATTTCTGCTGTTCCCCCAGCGACCTGAGCTCCAACCAACTGACTGGTTCCATCCCCAAGGAGATTGGTGCCATGCTCGCCCTCACCAAACTGTGAGTCACTCTTCACCACAACTCATTGCGACCTTTCCCTTTCCTTCCCTTGCCCATCCTTACCATGTCTAACCTTGAATGTCCTTGCCCATGCACACCAGATAAACCTCCAGTCCTTCCTCCCGCCATCAATTTCCTCCCTCTCCCTACTCTCTGGTCTTCCAGTAATCTTTCAGGCAACCAGCTTTCAGGAAGCATACCTGAGACATTTGGTGGACTCGCTCAAATGGCACTCCTGTAAGCTGCACTTGCATTGTGCATTCATTGTCTACCACACATAGACCCTGCCGCAAAGCCGTTGCCCGTGTTTAATTTTCCCTGGATAGATGTTCAGTTCAACCACACGGAGCAAAATATGCATATTGAGATGAGTTGCGTAATTCTATGTCGGCACACATGTGTTGCCAAATATCAGACAATGTGAGACATACACAAGCAAATGTAATTGTGGCGCCACGCTTATTCAATCAGAGTATGTGAACATACAACTTGTGATGTTGACCAAACCCACTCTGCAACATACATGCATTTTGTGGCCTGTAACACGTTGCCGATCACAGGAGGTAACCTGATTATGAGATATTTAAAGATTTGATGAGCCGAACATGTCTTTTCCAAGCCCGTATCCCAATATATGTATGTTGTTGGCGTACGCGTCTATTAGGAATATGTGAGCACCTTTTTTGAGCCAAATGGACCCCGAGTTAAAAGGACCCGAAGTAAGAATGTGAAGTAGTTTGGATTGCTTGGGTAGTGGAGATCATAGCTTTTCAATGATCATTGGATAATATTTGTAATCACAGAGCACATCCTCACAGAAATATCAAATGCATCTCCGTATGCCTCTGCCTCTCCCCTCCCTTCCACCTCTTCAGAGTTCTAAGTAAGAATCAGCTCACTGGCTCCATCCCTACTGCCATTGTCTCCCTGGTGGCTCTGTCAGCTCTGTGAGGATCTGCTACACAGCTCGCCTTCCTTCTCATCTGATCTCATTTATCAACTTAATTTTCCTGTTTCCTGATTCACTCCTTTCTCACGCTTTCTCCATAACTTTGCTTGGCTTAATACTGATTGCCTCGATTGATCAGCCCTATCTTCTATTATGTTAAATTTCACTCGTTTTCTCACTTCTCGATTCTTTGTCTCTCCATTAAAATCACTATTGCCTACTCCTGTGTTAACTGCGCTGTGCGACTTGTGGTGCATGCTGTCATATCAGCCTTGCCCAGCCACGCCTTGCATGCCGTGCATGCCATCATGCATCACACCATTGTTAACCTTGTCCTTCCACTTCTGCCTTCTCTTTTTGTCCTCAGCGACCTTTCAACCAACCAAATTTCAGGCAGCATTCCTGCCAGCTTCAGTGCTCTGAGTAACATAAAATCCTTGTGAGCACACACCACGAAACACCTTGAACGTGTGCTGCAGAGGCTAACTTGACAAAGATCTACATAAATGTCAGCTCCATTGTATTTGTAATAAAACGAGCATGGGAATTTCAGCCAATGATTGTGTTCCCTGACATGCAAAACATGGGAAGAAACCATACTATTGTTTGCTACATGATTTTTCACTAGGTACCATGCGTTTTGTTCAAGAGTGGTCGTATATTCAAAACAAGTTATGTCCATGACTCTTCTACTACTGCAACTAGTAAAGAACTGGCAGTCACAAAATCATCTTCTCATCGCACTTGTGATCTTATCTTATCCCACTTCTTGGTGATGTACCAGTCTCTCATGCATTCCTTGTCTGGCCCTTGCACATCCACAGGTATCTGTACAAGAATCAGCTCTCTGGCTCTGTCCCTGCCACCATCGGCACCTCGGCAACCCTGGAGTCTCTGTAAGGCATCTCATCTCGCTCTTTATTGGTACGAATCATTCCTCCCTTCTCCCTCTTGGATTTCTGATTTGTAAATCTGCTATATATCCCTGATTTAAATATCAGAAATTCAGTCCCTGTGCTGAGCAGCAATTGCTGGAGGTCAGCGTACACAGCAATTGCTGTAGGGATTTCACCCCAACCTGCTCTACATTTTATACTTCGAATTCTGTTCAAATTTCGTTTGTAGATTTGCAGTTTAAACTTAGTTTGTTGATTTGCACCCAGAAACTCACTCTGGTTGGATATTACCCCAACCTGCTTTACATTTATACTTCGAATTTTGTTCAAACTTCGTTTGTAGCTTTGCAGTTCAAACTTAGTTTGTTGCTTTGCACCCAGAAACTTACTCACCCCGACCTCCTCGATGGTTTCTTTTTTGACACATCCAAGTTTTGCATCTACAGAACTTACGGCTTGTTGTCTTGTCTCTCACTACGGTCTTTCACCTACGGCTTACGGTTTTACTTTCAGAGCAACCCAACGAATTTGGATTGGGGAAGTTCGCTGGTCCAAGAGGTTGGATCTTCGGCTTCGCTTATTCCTCTCTCGTCTATAGGATTGGCAGCTTGCGGTGGTTGACATAAGGAGCCTAGGCCGGCTCATCTTGTGTCACCAGATATCCTTCTCTCCCTTGCCATCAACAGGTACCTCGATTCAAACAAGCTTTCGGGAACCGTGCCCTCCTCCATAGGAGAACTCACAGCACTCACAAGCCTGTAAGCTGCTTTTCTGCCTGGTGCAAACATATGTCTGCTTGACTTTTGTAAAAACGTCACAATCGAATTCAGATTGTTACAAACACAGTCTTTCTCTGCAGCAAGCCCTGCAAGCGATTAGTAACATGTGTAGTGTTGACGTATAAGTCTCCCTTGTTCTGGAACATATGAATAGCTTGTACCATTCCTCTGGCCATTCCCTTCTGACCTTGTCTGCATGTTTTTTGCACTCGTATCTCCCTCCTCTTCATAGGGTTCTCGACAACAATCAGCTCGCTGGCTCCGTTTCAGAGGCCATTAGCTCCCTATCAAGTCTCAAAATCCTGTCAGGCCGTTACGTTCTCCTGCCCTCCGCTTGTTACCTTGCTACATCGTACTTCCGTCTCTGCTCCCTTTCTGCCATGCTCATCTCACCACCTTTAGTTTATCCGGGCATCAACATGACAATGGAAGCACAAGCCGTACTAGAAGAACCTTAATTTGCCACATTCTTATGGACTGCCTTACAATCCCCCTCCCATCTCCTTGTCCCCTTTCCATCAACCAGAGCCCTGTCTCGCAACCAGTTCTCTGGATCCATCCCTGACTTCATCAGCTCCCTCACCGACTTATCTATCATGTATGGCTCACCATCTGCAATGTGTCCACTGCTCACCCTGCCAATGCGATTTCCTTTCCAGTGGAACAAGTGCGTGATCTCACCTGAAAAGCATATCTGTTTGTCCAACCAGTTTCTTGCGCCAACTGAATTCGCAGGGCATTCCAGCGTAATCTCCTCGATGGGGAGATCCCTGAAAGCATCGGGGAACTTTTTAAACTCTGCTATTTGTAAGTCGTAGTGACTCCCTCTTCCCATGCCAAGCTACTAGCGTCCCACCTCTGTCCCATTCACAAGCCCTGTAAACTAACCCAGTGGCATGCCAATGAACTGTTGTATCCTGTTGCACCAGATGACTTTCCTTGATGTGACTACTGTCGTGTTGTACTTTGCACTCGTCAAGCACCCTTCCCTTCGAAATGATTGTCCCCGTTTATGTGCTCAATGCATTTCAATGTAAAATTCGATGTCTGCGTGCTCCCACCACCATGGGCATCAGGTCTCTTGCCTCCAACCAGCTGTATGGCACCATTCCTGAGGGCTTCACAAAGCTCACGCGCCTCACCTACCTGTGAGCCCTTACTGTGCTTCTCAAAAACTCTGTACCTGAACTGAACAACCTGGCCTGTAGCCTTGTGTTTTTTTCTCATCCGGATTGATGCATTCTTAACCCACATTTGCTCTTCACTTCCTCCCGCCGTGAAATGGATCCCCCTCCCTCCCTTCCCTCTCTCTTCTCCCAGTGACCTCTCCCGTAACTACCTCACAGGCCCTGTCTCCCTGCCTGCGATCAGCAGCCTGCGTCTCTTCAGCAACTACCTTTCCGGACCCCTTCCTGAGGGGGCATGCCAGGCTCGATCTTTCGATGCCAACTGCTTCACACTGCCTACCGACTGTGCGCTGGTGGTGCAGCGGAAAGAGCAGAATGCAATGCCTTCTGTGGCGTCTCCTCAGTTGCCCCTTCGACCTCCACCAGTGCAAGTGCTGCTGCTGCTTGTGGTGGCAGAGGGGTGTGCATTCCAGGCCGGGCCGGATCAGCCCCAAGCTGTTTGTGCAGCGCGGAATTCATCAAGTATCAAAGGATCAACTGTGTTACTGAACGTAAGAAGCTTTCTCATTTTTGAAATCATTTTGAAATCGCATGGGTCCCTCCCAAGGGGCTTCCGCAAGGGGCTTCCTGTACCATAAAGATGACCTGTGGTGTGGTGAGACCTCACTGAACTATCCATCCACAATACTTGCACTGATCACTGCTGATGCTCTCCCTACTGCCTTCAAAACATGCGGCACTCTACCGAAATGCTGCATATCCTCTCATCTGTGCCATAGCCTGCGTTGCAATATTCCTTGTTGGGATGTCACACCAGTGCTGCTTTTCCTATGTGAGAAGGGATGACAGCCTCTCATGCAAAATCACATCATCATCGCATGCCATTACTGAAGATTGTCACTTCCCTTTCCTTCTCAATTTCGTTCCTAACAAATGTTCTCTCATGTCCCCTGCACGTTCACAGCCAAAGGTGCAAGCCATACAATTCTTCCGCCAGCAACAGTGCTCACCAAGGGAACGAAGAAGGAGACAACGGGGGTCTTCACTGCAGATCCGGTGACTCTGTTTGTGTACGAGGCAGGGCAGGCGGTGTCGGGATGTGGGGTGCAGCTGGCCTTCCAGGTCAACTTCACCTTTTCCCTCTCAGCTCAGTCGGGTCGTGGCGTTGGCCACAACGGCTTTGCCTTTGTCATCTCTGCAACAGACCGGGTGGGGAGCGGCTCCGGTGTGGGGTATGGTGGAATGGACAACAGGAGCATGGCGATTGAGTTTGACACTCTGACGAACAAGGAGCATGGTGACATAAAGGGCCAGCACGTGGGGCTGAATATACGAGGCCAGGACAGGTCGTTAGCTGCTGTAAATCTGCCATTCGTACTGAACAACAAGAAGGCATATACGGCGTGGGTGGACTATGAGCCTGGGGAGCCCGGCACCATTCAGGTGTTCCTGGCTGACACGGAGGTGAGGCCAGAGCAGCCGCTGCTGGAGAGGAGGCTGGCGCTGTGTGAGGTGCTGCAGGCTGGAGCAGAGCAGACAGCTTACTTCTTTGGATTTGTGGCGTCTACCACTGTGAAGCCGCTCCAGATGCAAGTCATCCTAAAGTCGGCAGTGCACACAGGTAAGAACAGCCCAATGGTGGTGCGTTTGGATGATGGTGTTAATGTGATGTTTATGTGATGCTGCTGATGATGATGATGATGATGATGATGATGATGATGATGATGATGATGATGATGATGATGATGATGATGATGATGATGATGATGATGATGATGATGATGATGACGATGATGATGATGGTCATGATGATGATGATGATGATAATAATGATGATGATGATGATGATGATGGTGATGATGATGATGATGATGATGATGATGATGATGATGATGATGATGATGATGATGATGATGATGATGATGATGATGATGATGATGATGGTCATGATCATGGCGATAGTGATGACTGTGATGGTGATGATAGTTATCGTGATGGTTGGTTTCAACTGGGACCATCACAAGCGTTGCTAGCTACTACTATCCCAAGTCTCAGATTTTGCAGTAGCTTCAGCCATGGGTACCCTGTACCCAGCTGTGGCTCGTGACAATTGGGTGATAGTCTTGGTCATCCTGCCTCAACCTGTTGAGTGCTTCCTACATGCTTCACACAATATCCCATTACCACATCATAGCCATGGTCTCTCTGTGTTCCTACATGTCCCTGCAGGCCTTCCTGCCTCACGGGATCCCGTAAACATCACTCCAGGTAAAAAGGGCATGAAAGATGGAAAGATGTATTCATGTTTCAACACAATATTCCTGTACATCAAAGACCAATGAACTTTGTTCCCCTGTTCCCGAGCAATCCCATTGTTAATGCGGTATGCACTAAGCACTTCCGCGCTATCTTTATCACCACCGTTCGTTTTTTAGAAGCATGCCAGACAGAGAAACACGTCCACACCTGAGCGTGCGCCCACATCCCTTCCCATCTCCACTATTTCCTCTGCCCGAATCCTGTGCTATATCCAGCCTTTGGTCTGACTCTCTCTGTGGAGTCATATGCGCCAGTGGGAGCCAGTCCCTTCATGCGCTACATGAGTGCGGACTACCGAGTGTCACCCAACCAGCTCGACCCGTGGGGAGTCAGTGGCTCCCACTCGTGGGACTCCATGCCCTTCCTTGGATGGCCAGTCAAGAACCAGAAGGACTGCAGTGAGTGTAGATGAGGAAAAAGACAGGGATATGTTGGTGGGGGCATGTCATTCCTGTGATGTTTTGTAACTTAGCGTGACTGGGTTATCTCAAGTCAGGGAGTGTACTCAGCAACATCGTACGCAGTCTTTTAGGAATGGTTCCTTCTGATTCCCTACCTGCATCTCCTTCCACCGTTTTCAGATGCAAGCTGGGCGTATGCGGTGGTGGCGAGTGTGGAAGCAGCATACGGCATCGCACTGAATAAACAGGCGCCGCAGCTGTCAGTGGAGTCACTCTTTGCAGCCATGGGGCTCACCTCCCCAGCAGCCAAGTGCACGGCAGGGGGCTCTCCTGCCGCGGCTTTTAAAAAGCTTCTCACCCTCCCCCGTGGTGGCCTTACAACATATGGCAGGCGGGTAGGAAATCATTTCTGTCTGAGAGACCTGTGTAACCCAGGACATTGTACACTCGTAGAGGAGAGAGATAATTATAGCTGCAACCTTCAAGTACATGCACTTCAATATTCTCCCTAAACCCTAACGCACGTTTTCTCTTCTCGTACGTTCCTCCATCAACTTCCAACTACTTGTCTGATCTTGGTCTGCAGCCAACAAAGTACCCCATTCAGGGATTTGAGCGCACGCGGTTCAAGGGGTATGTGGGGCTCATGCTGGCAGTGCAGCGGCAGCCAGTGGTGGTTCACATCGAGGCCTCTGCTGCCTCGTTCATCGAATACGATGGGGTGGGTACCGATCATGTGATCAGTCTGAGCTTGCCTCCTTGTAGGCATTCTTGCGGTTGTTGACATTCCATGTGAACATGCTCTGTGGTGAGTGCTTCAAAAGTACATGCTTTTGTTTCATCACATAAGTAGCTGATGGTTCTTCTGGAAACTTGATATAGCTTTGAAAGATTCAGGAGCTTTATTGTCATCACGAGTGCCACATTGAACCCATACAGGTGGCTGCATGACTCATGCACCAGCATCTGTGTCTTTCTGTATTCTTCGCATCACTCCCTTGCCCAGACCTCGAAGTATCAGGATCCTGACTGCTATACTGGCAACCTTAACCATGCTGTACTCATTGTTGGGTACCTCGTTTCAACAACTAATGCCCGCCAAAGCCCCAATGATATGCCATTTTGGATCATCCGCAACTCGTGGGGAGTGGATTGGGGAGACTGGGGCCACATGCGCATGGACATTCAGGGAGGGGATGGCGTGTGTGGCATCAACGTGCTGCCTGGCATCTACCCCATTGTCAAGAGTGAGTCATCTACCCCCCCTATATCAAGGCATCTTTGATGATTTACCCCATTGCAGCCACTTCAAAGGAGTGGGTGCTGGCATTTGTCCAGTAATTCACTAATTTCATGATTCTCATGATTCATATTGCACTACATTAACTGTCCTTTCCATCTACCCTCCAGTTTCCAAGGACCCTTGTGGCCAGAAGAGCTTCAAGAGGGATGGCGATCTGCAGCCAACTATGAATTTCTGTGGTCGCTTCAAATGCCTTGTAAACACGAGAACCAAGAGCAACACCTGCAACTGCACCATTCCCAATGAGGCCAAGCAGCCTTTTGTTGAGGTGGCGAATGGATTTGGCTCCAACACATGTGCATATGGTGAGTTATTCTTACTTGGGCGCAGCATGTGTCTTTGACCTTTCGTCCACTGAGCTACCGTACAGCCAGTATGGAGGTTTCCTTAGGTGCCAACTATGGCATTCTGTTTTTATAGTGGAAACTTTCTATTATGGCCGTATCACTTGCATTTTGAGCTTCATCCTGTATAACCCATTCTTCATCAGCCATATCCATCCCACTGTCAACCCAACAGTCAACATGTGCAGTTCGTACTCGATCAACCCCTGCGCTGCGGGCTCATGCATCAACGATGGCAAGGGCGGCTATTCCTGCATATGCCCTCCCAACTACGTTGAAAGCAGAACCGTTGAGAACTTCCCCACCTGCGACCCAGGTGCTGCTAGTTTGGCCTCATTCAGTCATGAATGAACAGGGTTTAGGGGCGGATGCATTTCTGCCAATCATGCGGATGCATTTCAGGCGGATGCATTTCTGCCAATCAGGCGGATGCATTTCAGGCTGTTCAACGGGTACATTTGCACCGTCCATTTCAATCTCGCATGACCTCATCATACCCTTAGCTGCTGTCCCTCCGTAACTTCCCTTCCCTTCTTGCTCCTTCTTTCCACCCTCCAGCCAACACCACAACGTCTGCCTTAACTGTCACTGGTGCCAATTGGTGGTGCTCCGATGTCTTTCCTGCTGCTGGCCTTGCATTGGCTAGCGTTCCAGTGCAAAGCATGGTGAGGGGTCTGAATAACTAGGCAAATTTACATGAGGATGGGTGACTGGTGGGCAAGGTTTAGGAGGGTAAGGGTGGGGCTGTGATGTCTTTTCATAAAAACTAGTGTTTTTTTTTTTGCAGTAGAGTCACGGTAGCAGGCATTCATATCCAACACATCAACCCTCCGCTGTGTTGCAGGGCGTTAACTGCAGCCAGCCTTTGCCTCAGGGCAAGGTGATTCAGCTGGAGAGCACCCCCACCACCCCGTGCACTGCCTTCTACTATGTCCGCACTGTGAGTCTGAAGTTCCTACAAGACACAAAGAGCAACGGTACTTTAACTGTTTTCTTGTTCAATGTGATTTTTGAAAAGAACAATCCACCACGCATCTCCTATCCTCAACATACACGTGACACATGACACTGTCTTATGTTATGAGTGTCCACGCTGCAGCACGCATATTTTACAGAAATCCAGCTACTGCCCCACTCGCCCACACCAAAAATTGGCCGCAACCCATCTCTTGCCTTCTTTCCCTTCACTTGACGCTCCAGGGTGACACTTGCTCCTCAATCAACGACCAGATTGGGCTGGCAGCAACTAAGCTTGCCTCCCTCAATCCTGGCCTGAACTGCTCTGAGCCCATCAAGGCGGGCCGCTCTTTGTGCATCGAGCGCAATGCCACCTTCGCCTTCGTCGTCCCTCGGTGCTCGGATTACGGCATGCTCACAGCACAGGACACGTGCGAGGACCAGCTGCTACAGGCCATGGAGTCTAGTGAGGATGAGTCCGTGGGCTCTTTGAGTGGAGACACATCCGTGGGTTCTAGTGCCTGGATTGAGCTGTACCGCAACAATCCCGGCCTCTTCTGCCCTCGCACCATCCCCGCGACCAGCACTACTGTTTCCAGCGTGTCTAGCGTGCAGGTGAGGGGTGAAGGGCCAGAAAGTGCAGGTGAGGTGAGATCCTTCCATTTTGTTAATGTTCTTCACCTTCTCTCTTGATGTGTGCATGCACGTCCTGTTTCAGGTTTGCCTCAAGGCATACTACGAGCCCTTCAATGCTCGTAGCTGCAAGATGGGAAGAATCAAGGCAGTGTCATCGTCTCTGACATGCGCAGGTGCTTTCAGCTTCTTCAATGGAGCTCAGCCGGGAAATGTCAAAAAGTTTTATGAGTACAATGAAGATACATGCTCGGGCACTGTACATTCCAATTTTATTTGCGTTCCATAATCAAACATCTTTAAGTATGACCGGGGTCAAAAGATTGTCTTCAGCAAAACATGGGCACATAGTTTGGTGATGCTACATTTGTTAGGTAATATACATTGCTCACATCATGCAAGTCCGCCACATAATCCATGATCTGGTTCAATTCCCATATTCTTCAGAGCGTTACCAACTTCTTTCATTGCACGCATGGTTTGACAATCAGATCACGCATCTTGTCGTCAAATGAGAGGGCTGAACGATTATGTAGGGTTCCATAAGGATGAGTGGCTGGTTGGAAAGGGTTAGGAGAGTAAGAATGGGGCTGTGATATCTTCTCCAGAAAACCTTGTTTTTGTCCAATGGAGTGCTGGTGACAGGCTTCATATCCCAACACGTCAACCTTCCCATATGTTCCAGGGCGTTAACTGCAGCCAGCCTTTGCCTCAGGGCAAGGTGATTCAGTTGGGGAGCCACCTCCATTACCCCGTCGTAGAGATGAGCAACCGGCCCGGCCCGACCCGACCCGACCCGACCCGACCTGGCCGGGCCACACAGGCTCCTGGTTCTAGACGGGTCGGGCCAGGCTCGGGCCAGGGTCCTGAAGGTTCCGGCCCGGCCCGGGCCTACACACTCGGGTCAACTTGGACTCGATCACGGGTCGGGTCAGGCCAGGATGACCCGCCCATGCTTAGGGTCCAGTGGCGCCAGCACCTTTGCTCGAGGCTGCCCCTACACCGTCCACGTGGGCCCCTAAGAACCTCTACGAAATGGTGCAATGTTAGTTGCTGGCGCGCCTATGGCCCATGCTGACCTCCGCTTCTCTATCAACACCCAAGTTGGACTCACATAAACTAAGTTTGCCTCCCTCAATCCCAGCCTGACCTGTTGCAAAGCCATCAAGGCGGCCACTCACTGTGCCTCAAACGCAACACCACAAAGGAAACAATGAAGAGGCTTCATATAAAAATCCTTCATCCTCTACTCAGATTTTTGTGAAGTAGGATATATAATATGCAGCTTCGAGGACATGATGTAGGGATAATGTGAATTTGATGTATCCAATAAGCATGACCCATAGAGGAATTGCCTCACTCCTGACTGCACATGCCTCACAGCAATTTGCATGCCTCACAGCAATGCACGTAGCAATCCGCATGCCTCACAACAAGGCACACACCTGAATCCTCTCGCAAACACCTGAATTCTCTCGCAAACACCTGAATCCTCGCACACACCTGAATCCTCTTACACTTACCTGAATCCTCTTGTACATACCTGAATCTTCTCGCACACACCTGAATCCTCTCGCACACACCTGATGACTCTCGCACACACCTAAATGATTTCACACTCACCTGACTCTTCTCGCACACACCACAATCGTCTCGCACAAACCGAAATCGTCTCGCACACACCTGAACCCTCTCACACTCACCTGAATCCTCTGCATACACCTGTATCCTCTCATAGACACCTGAAGCCTCTTGCACACACTTGAATTCTCTCACACTCACCGGAATCTGCTAACGCAGAGCACATCCAGGGCTGATAGATTCTCAGGTGACTCAAATTGCTGCTATCAGTGTCGATGGAGAGGAGGAGAGAAGGCGGGAAGACGGAAGGTTGGGGACAGGGAAATCGATAGTGCGTGTAGATGCAGCAGTGCGCCCCACCCCACGGGGTGGCAGTGCATTTGGCAAGCGTATGACAGTTTATGCAAGTTGTGAACTGCCGCATTCAGCTTGAGCCTCGTGCTGCTGCCTGCTTACCTTGAGTCTCACTCCTAGGTGACTTAACGTAGAACGGCAGCATTGGGTCCATATGGAGAGGTGAAGTGGCAAGAAGCCCCTGGAGGATATGCTTTGTATCATCGGGTGCAATGGACTAGTGCACATCTCTAAGCAGAAGCATAACAAGCTTCAATCAACGGTTGTGTGAGCTGTTCATTTGGGTTTCGCTTGAGGAAGCAAGGGTTGGCTCATGTGGAACCCAAAAGAAAACACCATATTCACCACCAGATATGTCAAGTTCATGGAGGCCTCACGTTCACGGAGAGGTTGGAGCGGGGTAGTAGCAAGGTGACCATTCCGATTGGAATGGGGGTGGGAATGAATAACCCACTTCTCATTCCCATCTTCGTGACAGAGGTGTCACATGACTTCGAAAGTGCTGAAGGGGAGGAAGCAGAGGAGGAGGGAGTATTGCAGTAAGAGGAAGCCAATGTAGTTAAGACAGGTGGTGTTGAGGAAGAGGTGTTGCAGCATACACCATCCCCTACAGTTCCACAAGGCCGACAACCCAAGGGAAGCGTGATGCTGTCCGTGATAGAGCTGTCCAAGGAGAGGCCCAAAGGAGATTCGAAGGCCCCAACTGCTGTTGCTCAGGGACCAGGAACTGCGCCATGCAGCCCCGCACCTGTGCCAGTGACGATTCGGGCTTCTTCCCAGTGAGCAGCTGGTACGACGTCGTCCCCGGTGGCAGCGTCAACCTCTCAAGGCAATTGCAGATCTAGACAACCTGCCGAAGAGCGAGGTGCCACCAGTGGTGCTGCACACCCATGTGCAGCAACATCGTCCTCACCGACTCCGCCATTGGCTGCATCTCTCGTTCCGCCATGCCATCAGTGGTATCCGAGCCTGGTTAGGAATGCGACATTCCCTCCTATTATCATATTTCGAATTGGCTTAAGAACATCCAGATCTATGGTTGGTTATGGCCCAGAAATTTAGATGGTCCTCCTAAGTTCACCGGCCCGGATTTTTTGCTATGACAGTTCCAATTTACACTTTGGCTAGGTATTAAAGACCTAGAGGGCGTTTTGGAGGGATCGGAGCGAAGACCTGAAGCTGATGAAGGAAAGGCATCTACTGGAGTCTCTAGCCAAGCAGAAGAAGGGGCTGGGGGAGCCTCTAGCTCATCCATATCTGAGGGAAGTGGATGTGGATCAGTAGCACCACGAAGCGGAAGGCAACAACTTAGTGCGGAGGAGCTTATTAAGGTACAGGACGCATGGGACCGCAAGGACAAGCAAGCGAGCGTCCACGACGCCGACCAGCGAGCACGACGCCTCCCCGTCGCCTCGCCCCTTGCAGCCAGTATCGGAGTCGGCGTCCTTCGTCGAGGTCAACTTGTTCAACTGCTCCTTGCGCGGCTAGCTTCCTCGACGTAGATGACGGCTGGCCGACCTCCCACGGCCTCCCTTGGCGTCGTCGTCATCGGAATCGCTGCAATTGGGGCACTCAACGAGAGGTGGTCGAGGCTGTGACAGGTCCAACACTCCCGACGCCGACTTCCTTCTCCTCGATCGCCGTCCTGAGCCGACTTCCTTTTGTCAGCGTCCTTTGCTAGCGTTCCGCCTCCGCTACCACCACCTCCAGGCTGACCACGGTGCCCCGGTCGACCGCCGGGGTGACGTAGTTTGCCTGCGGCAGGAGCTCCGAGGACCGCTCGGCTTCCTGCATCGCCTCGTCCCGCAGGATGTACGAGGTCAGGAAGTTTTCGTTGAGCAACGCCCTTGTGCTCGGCACCACCATCAGCCTCTTCATCAGTTTGTAATTGCTCGAGAGCCCTTTTAGGACGTGTGTGACGTACGACGCCATCGAGTACTGCACACCGGCCATCCTCATGGTGGCGTCGCCACGGTACTGGCGGCGAAGCACATCAGCCCGGCCATCTCCAGTTGGGGCTCGATGGCTTCCTTCCACGTAAGGATGTCGGGATGACCGGCCAGCAGCGGGGTGACCGTGATTATGTCCGGTGTAAACTTGAAGTAGCCGTAGCTCGGCGCAATTCCTCCCGCAGTCACGTGTGTCGCCGACATCTGCGTCAATCGGCTTCGTCGGCCTCCGACGTCGCCCTGCGAGGCCCCTGCAGCCACCGACGCCTGAACGCCACCGACTTCATCGGCGTGGATGACTCCTCTCTGCCTCGACGTGCCTTCCGCACTGCTGCTGACTTGGTCACCACCGAGGTTGATGCCCACGTCGATGCCACCTTCAGTGTTCGCCTGTCGAGGAGAAGCTGGTCAAGAAGGGTGCTTCGTCGCCCACACAGCGCAGATGCCAGCCTCGATGACCGCCTAGAGGAGTATCTCCCCATATTTACGAGCCTCATGGCGTCCCCTCACATCTTCTAGCCGTGCAAGAAGTGAGCTGGTCCGCAGTGGTATCGCGAACATGGGCAAATTAAACCCAGACTTGAAACGCTGATGCATCGCCAACATCCCCCGTCCAACGAAGTGTAGGCAAGATCTCTAGCTCGGAGACACGGGGCCGGAGGTTGAGCTGATGCGCAGCGTATCGGACCGCAAACAGCCACAGAAAATGGTGAGAAACCGCATTAATCATGGAGGTACAAGCGACCTCCATGACCAAGCCAATGCAGCGCTCAGCAATTCCATTTTGTTGTGGAGATGCCAGAAGTATGAACGACTAGATGATGCCCTCCTTACGACAAAAGGTCTTTAAGGAAATCGGAGGAAAATCAACTCCACGGTTAGAGTGCAGAGGGAGAACCGGGAGGTCCTGAATGAACCACTCGCTCAGCTAATCACGAACAGTGCGGATCCAAGGGATCAAAATACGATGGACGTCGTCTTTGTTCCGCAAGGGAAACATCCGTGGTATAGCGCATGTAGTTGTTAACGACCAGCAAGAAGTAGCGCTTCCGACCCGGCCCAGTGACGGGGCCAGGGCTCCACACGTCCATGTGCAGGGTCTGCAGAGGAGCCTATGTCAGAGGGAACGAGGAGGATTGAGGAGCGGCGCGCTGCCGCTTCTCGACGCAGGGAGTGCACGGCGGCGAAAGCGACGAAGAGAGTGGGGGCAGGGACCTCGGAAGGCCCGAGACAAGGAGACGCGGGTGCATGTGACACAGATGCTACAGGCAGGGAGGGGTGACCAAGACGGTGGTGCCAGAGGAGGGACGGGGGCGTGAGTGACCGACAAGAGCACAACGCTGCTACCTAATCGGACGCAACAAAGTGTGCATAGTCATCGTGCAGTGTGTACAAGCCAGGCCCA